AAAAGAAACCTATATACATGGGACTGCAGATGAAAAATGGTCTCTTGGCTAACTCTGGCGCATTAACGGGAATGTGCACTGTCCCAAACCAAATAAACCAGTAAATAAATAAGAATACAAGACTGTTTTGCGAAAACCTAATACATGTAATTTACTTGAAAATGGCTCCGAATAACAATAATAATAATTTAAATAACTACTATGGCTACTTGTGATCGGCTGACCTTGGTAGACGAAGTGAAATCCTTTAGCAGTCTCTGGTCCGACCGTGGTAAACTTGATTGTGATCTGGTTTCCCGTACTCAGAGGTAGAGACTCACCTGGAGAGTCAAAGAGAGACAAGATCAGAAGAAAGGTAAATTAGGGCTCAGGTTTGTCCATCTGTCCCATCCACCTATCTATCTAGCCGTTGATCCTTACCAGAGTGGGACCCCGAGAGAGAAGAAAGCAGCGTGCTTTGTTGAGTTGGTCCATCGTAGATTTCCACCACATCATTTAGAGATGTCTGGAACAACACAAACTGTCCAAAAAGGACTGGAGACAGAATGGGAGAAAAAAAACAGATAACGAGATGAGTTAACCACACTTCAATGGTGGCAAATTATTATTCCATGCCGCCGTCTGTGCCTGACCTTCCGATGATAAAATTAACCTGTAAAACCTAATTTAAATTGTATTAAGCTGCAGTGTCAACCTCTATTTGAAGCCAACTATTGGCAGAAAATTACATATCAGGACACTTAATAGTCAAAACATCACCTTATGATCATCATGCGCCAGTACACTCCCCCACCCCCCACCCCACACACCCACCACACACACACACACACACACTCTAAGTCAGCTGGCTAGGGTGCATCAGTGTTGTCAGCGAGTGTGAAATGTTGGCAAAAACTACATGTCAGTAGGGCAAGATATTTTTCTTTCTTTTCTTCTCTCCAGTATTACCAGCAGGTAGAGTGGAAGAAAGGCATATGTGGTAACCTATAAACTCCTGTCCCTAAACCCATGTTTTACTCTGTTTCAGTATGATGGAAGGTAAATCATCAGCCGTGAATCATGACTAAACCATGGATTTTACTGTGCAGCTGCAGTGGCAGGCAGCAGCAGAGGGTCCACTGGAAGCCTGAGGCCCCATATCTAGTGCAACTATCTCTGTCATGGTTGCCCACTGTGTCTTCAAAATAATTACAAGTTGCCTTAAAGGAATAATTCAACCCCCAAAAAGACCATTTGTATGTCAACTACTCATCTGGTGTTACCTAGAATTCTTGAAGAAAATTGTTTTTCTGAACGAAGAATTAAAATGCAGAGAACATTTTTGATGAATTGAAGTATTTGCTATGAAACGGCAGTGCATGTGAGTCTCTGTTGTGCCCCACTGGCTAGCTATTCTCATACAGTGGTTACCGCTGATAGACTGTATATAATAGGTCCCGACTGACGCCGTTGCCGCAGAAGCAAAGCATTCTTTAAGAATTCAAGGTAACAAGGGGTGACTAGTTGTTAAATAAATGAATATGTTGGAGGTCAAGTATTCCTTGAAGATGCAAATCTGTATGTGTACTTGTCGAAATAAAAACATGTTTGCCTGCAGCACATGTAAAAACTGATGCACACACACACACACACACACACACACACACACACACACACACACAC